TGTTACATCAGTTGAATCCCACCATTGCTTGTCTGCCCTTAAGGCTCCGAAGTAACAACATTTGATTTTTATTTATTTCACAGGTAGTGAAATGATCACAATTGAGATCAGAATTTCTGCTTGTTAAGTGTTAATGTCAAGTGCCAGGAAAATCAGGAGATCCACACAGTTCAAATGGGTATAAAGATTTATTTTGTAAGCCTAAGCTCTCTACAAGAATCTGAACTGCTAACAGGCAAGGGACGTCAGCGGGAGATAAGAGCAGAAGGAATTCAAGGTGTATTGGACTTCGATCTCTTTTGGGTGTGAAGGGACTCGACTGATGGCGCGTTTGACCCCTCCCTCGGGCTCAGCCTGGCCATTACAGTTAAGTGGGTCACGCCCAATTTTACGATCTGTTTTTCCAATGGTTGTTAAGTGAACCATGCAGTCTTTAAACGAGTCCATTGGCTTGGCTTGCTGGAAGCCAGCTACGATGGCTATAAATGGTGACCCACTGACCCCAGGACGCTGCAACCATCGTAAACACATGTCGGATGCCCATCCATGAAATTTTGGTCACATGACTGTGAGGGAGCTATGTCAATTGTAAGTGCGAATATGAAAGTCACATTTCCCAGTGTAACTTTTGACGGTCACTAAATGAATGGTTGTAAGTTGAGGGTTACTGGTACGTTGCTCTAATCCATTTCCAGTGGGCAGTACAGAATAGTGCCAAATGCAGTAAAAATCAGGGTTTGGACTGGCAAGGATGGACCATATTTTTCTGATTAGGTATCACATTAAGTATGTTTTGGGGGGAAGGTTTGTGGATAGAATCTATATATATATAAAAGTGAAATACCACTCACACATCATCAGAAAAGCTCCACAACCTTAAAGCGTACAAACTTGAAATTTGGCACGTAAGTTCCTCTTGGCTTCTAGGTGCTCACTATGAAAGGATTTTTCAAAATGATCACCAGAGCATTTGTATTTCCCATATGATTATTATTATTAACACACTTTGATGCTAAGGAGTTCTACTCCCCCTCCCCACCTGAAAAGAAATCTGTTCCACATGCAAAACACAAGCAGAGGAGAGGAGTTTCAATTTCAGTTTTACTTTCACAGCACCAAGCAGCCTTAGTACAGAACAGTTGAGCTAAGCCACGCCCAGGCTCATTGCTGTCTCCTTCTTGCTCACACAGCAAATACTGTTTCAGTTTCCAAACAGCCCTCAACTCTCTCACACACTGACAGTCCACAGGCCAGATGAATACCAATACCACATAGTTTCGTAGCAAAGCACGGTTATTGAGCTAGTTAGGAATATTTGTTTCTTTTTCTTAGGGGTTTGGGGTGAATTCTTTGCTGCTCCCTTTATTCTCTTGAAAAGTTTTTGTTTCATGAGTATATTTAGCAGTGATATTCTGTTATCCCTGGTGGCTGAGAGGGAAGGATCTTAAAAAAACAAAACAAAAAAGGATCAGATGTGTGGACCCACCCCTGAGATTGCGTATTGTTGAGCCCTGTCCTGTTGTAGGCTTGGCTGAGCATGGAAGATCTACATCTAAAATGGAGGTAATTTCCCCAACCTGCATGGAACAACATAAATTTCCCAAATTTCCAAAAGTATAAAATCTTTGACTTAAGTACCCATAGTCCTCGACTTATAACAGCTCGCTTAGCGACCGTTCAAAGTTACAACGGTGCTGAAAAAAGCAACTTATGACCATTTTCACACTTATGACCACCGCAGCATCCTCCACAGTCACGTGATCAAAATTTGGATGCTTGGCAACTGGTTCATATTTATGACAGCCACAGTGTCCCGTGGGATCAACTTTCGTAACCCTTTGACAAGCAAAGTCAATGAGGATACCAGATTCACTTAATGACCATGCTAACTTAACTTACAGCGATTCTCTTAACAACTGTGACCAGAAAGATGGCGAAAGGGGCCAAAATTCACTTAACAAACATCTCAATTAGGAACAGAAATTTCAGGCTCCATTGTGCTTGTAAGTTGAGGACGAGCTGAATGGTTCAGGAAGTCCTCCATTTATGACCAAAATTGAGTCCAATCATAGTAGTTAAGTTAGCAGCACGGTCCTTAAGTAAATCTGGCTTCCCCACTGACTTTGCTTGTCGAAGGGAAACAAAATATGTTACCTATATAATAAAATGCTGTTTGTAAAGGAATAAATGAATGGATCCTAGTGGAGCTAAACCTTTCCTTCGGGGGGAAGAAAGAAGGATCCCCCCCCCCAATTAGCTTACCTCCTGCTCTGTCTAATCCCTTTCAAAATCACCCTTGTTTTTTGGAATATACAAGAGCAGGGGTCTCCAACCTTGGCAACTTTAAGATTTGTGGACTTCAACTCGCAGAATTCCTCAGCCAGCTTGGCTTTGCTGGAGAATTCTGGGACTTTAAGTCCACAAGTCTTAAAGTTGCCATGGTTGGAAGACCCCTGTGCAAGAGAGCTGCAAGGAAAAAAGAGCAGAAAAATTCGTGTTTGCCAACAAACAAACCAAAGTCCCAAGATCAACCGTCAATCCCGGAAATCACTTTGCCTTTGCCCCCCTCACTGCCAAGTGCTGGAGTTTGTAAGTTTTGGTTCCTTCTGCACCTCGCTTGGAGAAGCAATGGGCAGCTCCGAGTTGACTTCAGGAATGTGGATAGCTTCAGGGTTGATGACTGTTAAGACCTTTACATGTTTATTTAGTTTTTATTTATGTTTATCTATTTTTTAGTTTATTTAGTTTTTCCCCCGAATGCCATCACTCTGCTAAACAACTAATTCCCACAAGACTGTCAAACTATTTTACTAAGCCTATTGCTATTCTTCTCATCCTTTCTATTACCTATCTCCTCCTCCCACTTATGACTATAACTTGTTGCTTGTATCTTTACGATTTATATGGTTTCATTTAGTTTCCTAGTATGATTTTGATTGCTTATTTAGTATCCTAGGACTATCACTAAGTGTTGTATCTTATGATTCTTGATATTTTATTTTTTCTTTATGTACACTGAAGAGCTTATGCATCGAAGACAAATTCCTTGTCCTAAGAAATTCTATTCTATTCTATTATGCAAAACATGTGGACGATCTTGGGACTTCGGTCTCTCGGTTCACTGAGGCGAGCCGGGACTGATCAAAATGTTTAAGGATATATCTGCCAAGTGGTGGAAGTGCAACCAAATTCCGGGCACGTTTTATCACATTAGAATTAGAATTAGAATTCTTTTATTGGCCAAGTGTGATTGGACACACAAGGAATTTGTCTTGGTGCAAAAGCTCTCAGTATACATAAAAGAAAAGATACATGTGGTGGTCATGTTCAAAAGCAAAAAAAATACTGGACTAAAATACACACCTGGCTAGAAAAAATGATAAGGGAACATATAGATTTAAAACCGGAAATATTCCTGTGGGGCATACCAGATAAATATAGTAAAAGAAAGGCATATTTAATAGTACATGTAGAACTGTGTTCGCACAACATTGGAAGGGCGAGATTTCCACAGAAGATAATAACAAAAATTTTAGAATGTGCAGACATGAATAAACTTACATTTGAAACTAAAGAAAAGGGAGACACTGAATATTTTGAGGTATGGGATCTGTTCTATCATTGGTTAAATAAATAAGAGAAACAGGAGTTAGAAATTCAAAGATCACCAGAGAAAGATCAATCTCATGATCAGGGTTGTTGATTGTAACTGATTGTGATTCATTTTGATTAGTTTTACTAATGAATACCTACCAATGGTATGAGGGAAAAAAGCACAGTTATCATGAAATTATCATTAGAGAAGACTATTACTATGATTATGGCGAATGTTACTCCAAAAAATGTAACCAGGCAACACACTGTATAGTAAGGTGACCAACCGTCCTCCTTTAGGGAGGACAGTCCTCCTTTTGTAAGTTCTGTCCTCCCTCGAAAAGTGTCCTCCTACACGTCCTCCTTTTTGATATTTGAAGACTAATCTGTAAATCTCCATATTTGATCGATGCCGATCTGATCCGTTGTGTGTGATGTGACACATTTGTATTTGACATGGCGATTCGTCAAGGCTCAGCGCGGCGAGACGCGATTATGAGACGCATGCGCTCCACACAGGAGAATTGTTTTGAGAGAGTGCGCCGTGCGCAAGCGGCTTTGTTTTTTTTTTTCAATTTATTTGTGTCCTCCAATTTTCATTGTAATAAAGTTGGTCACCTTAGGTATATAAGGAACATGTTGCTCTTTCTTTTTATTCATTTATATTTTAATAAAAAAATTATATATATATATATAAAAAAAACAAAAAAACAAAAGGGCGAC